AGCTCTTTTCCTAACTCATGTAGTCTGCTCTATCATGGCGTTCCCTGCTTTTGAAGTTCGCATGATGCGTGACTTGAGGCTCTTTGTGCATGTTAGGAAAAAACATGAGATAGGACCTAGAGGCGTACGTGACTCCTATCACATCCCTGCTGGAACCATTAAAAAAATATAACTTGAGCCTCGGCAGCACAAGAGTTAGGAACCCACCCCAGGGATAACCCAACTGTCTGGAACAGCTAAATCCTAACTCACCAGGACCTAGTATATATATATATATATGTCTAGTCTACAAATAGCTTGGGGATATTGACAAAATTGGTGAAAACCATCAGGCCCCGGCCTCTTGCCCGGCCTCTTGCCTAGTACCCGCTGCTCTGAAAATAGGTTCAAATGAACCATGTGAACTTACATATATTGATATATTCATATATATATATATATATGTACATATGTATATATCAATATGTATATATATATATATATTTATAGTATATATATATATGTATATATATATATATATCAATATGTATATATGTATATATTTATAATATATATATATGTATAATATATATATATTATATCTATATATTAATATTATATATATACACATAAACACCATATGTTCAAAATCCACGTCTAAACTCATGGTGCTGACCTGGCCACATGGCCACAGCTCCCCCACTCCGCCCAGTCTCTCTCAGGCAAAGAATTGAAGACCTCCTCAACGAGCGGATTCCACATCTTTCTGTCCCTTGAAATCATCCTAAGGCTGGCGAATCAACCTAGAAAGGTGGTGATGTTAAACCCTCCAAAAAACTTGAGGCAAATGGGCTTCATCCCAGGTAGAGATGGAAAAGAGACTAATTAAATCTAATTAATATATACGTATACTGTACTTATACGATATCTAAGTGCCGCAAGCAAACACCTATTATCATTCAAGCAGTTCCAAGTTTAATTGGCCTTGGCCAAAACCTAGCTGCGATAGAAAATGACGAGGAAGGACCAAATCTTACAGAACCACAGAACCAACACAGCGATAGCTTTTGGGTCAAAATTCTACAGAAGGAACGCATGTCATGCACGTTCATTCAATATACCCTTAGTTGGCATGAACGCTCCAGAACTTGCTGGCATTTTCTCATTCCCAGTTTTGACCAACCCCCCCACACAACTTTACGCATGAGTCAAAATAGCATCCATCGGTTACTGCCTTCAAAATGGTTATGTGCACCACTTACTTGTTATTGTGTATATCTGCATATGTATATATATATATATATGGCACTGGCACTTGCTCCAAAGTTCTTGAACCCCAATTCCCTTTTTGTTTCTAACAAAGGATTCTATATATGCCAACATGGTATGTGGCTTATGGCCATCCACTCCACATTGGTATTTGAATCTTTCTTGATGGATTCATGACCAGCCGATTTTCTGGTAAAGTAACCCATCCCTTTTCTGGGAGAGGAACCCATGTTTCTACCATGGTACAATTTGGAAATGGGGTACCCCTAAATCCATTGATCCATCAACAGTAATTATCCAATGTGGGGGATATCATGTCATTTTTAGACAGACCCATGCTATGATTCTGTTTGCTTAGTTTTCATGAAATCCGAAAAAAATCCTCCTACATCCCCTATTGTTTATTGTTAAACCCATTTTTTTTGCAACATGCCCCAACTGTGATATGGTTCCATGCGCTTCTTTCAGCGCCAAGGAACTCATCCAACAACTCTGTTTCCAAGGAGCGCGCAACCTGCCAAGGGAAATTACGAACGTGGCAGTGGGGATATTCTTGTGTGACTATACCAAGTGTGAAATCATATGGATTCATATAGTGTATCTATTCTATATACCAACACTATGTAGTATGTACATGTTGCGTAGGATCTTAGAACTATTAATTCCATGTATCTATGGGTGTGCCTGAAAGTGCCGGCGTACTTTCCAAAAAACATTGACAATTTGGCCATTACATGTGGAATAAGATGATTAACGAGTGGATTCGAGAACCATAAAGTTCAAATTAAATTTGACACTTTGTGGACAAATCACATGCACACATCTTGCTGGAAATTGGCCGCATGGCAGTCGAGAGCATTGCGGCACAACAAACAGGATAGCAAAAAAAAGTAAGAAGGACAGGCTCTGAAAACCTGTGAGAAACTAATTAGTCCTCAAAACAATGCCTTGCAACATCTAGCTCTAGCAGCTTTGCTACCTCAAGCCAAGTCAATCACTGGCATCAGTTCATCCAGGACCTAGAAAAACTTCCCATCAGCACTGGCATCAGCACCTCCATTCGGATGTTGCAACTCTCTTGAAGCGCAATGATCATCTCAGGAATATTCCTGCGAAAACTGGATCCGGGATCTCCCATCATCCCACGAACATCAGACTCCAACTCAGTACCCTCTGGTAAACAAAGAACTCATGGGAAAATCACCATTTTTAATGGCTAACTCATGGTAAATCAACAATTTCGATGGCCATTCTCAATAGCTATGTCAAATTACCAGAGGCTAATATCTACAACTGAGAGTTCATGCGCATGAATTCATTGTCATCCTCGGCTGAGTGACTGAAAATGGGGTACATGCCCAAAACTGGCACTCTCATGGGCGTGTGACATGTGAAAGCCTCAAGTACTGAGGCGGAGCCAAATCTGATTGATCTCGGGTTTTGATGGATTAGGTCTGAAATCTCACACACTGGATATAATCAAATCCCATCTATTCACACGATCAATTCCATCCATCATGCAATTTGGCGACCTCTCCTCTTGCCGTTCACGCCTTGGGATTTGATCTGCACCATAGGCAAGGTTCTCGTGAATGGTTTTGAAGGTTTATATTTAAAAACATAATAAACATGGAACTGAAGAATGAACTCTTATTGGACAAGGCGGCGACGAAGTGGGTTTATAGTTCTGGACTCTTGCCCCTCTAAATTCGATATTGAATTGTAAATCGCGAAATCTCCAAGAAAGAGACACGCAAAAAATCCACCCATCTCAGCGTAAGTAGGTCAATTTGTTGCAAACGTTTGGATAGATTCATTTGAGGATTAACATTCCAGAAACAAATGAACACACAAGCGGTAGGCAGAATATCCAGAATGCGCCGACAGGCTACTCCACAGTTTCTGATCTGAGTTTTAGCATCAACAAATTGTGAGGCGAACGATGACAAATCTCAACATCAGTTCTATCCCAGCATGTGGTGAATTTCCACAGATTAACCAATTTTACTGGTGATATCCCATGTTTACCAGTTAAAATCACCAGAACATCACCCTGTCCGACTGAAATCTGCATCGCTCCAAAGCACTTATCACATGAGAACCGTATACCACTTGGCGAGTCGGGTGCTCTCGGTTCCAGGTGTCCATCGGCGTATCCTCCCAAACACGTGTGACCTCAAGGACCAGCTTGAGCGAGCTGGGCATCTATCCTGAATTTCATTGCATATATATATATGTATCATATATAAATATGGCACGGGTATATATATATATATTAATTACAAATGGAAAAAAATAATCTAGATCAATCTAGAATATGTATGTATGTATGTATATATGTATATATATATATGGAACACCCAGTTAAATATATATATATACATACATACAATTATATACATAATGCATACATACAAATATAATCAAATAGATATATAGAAAACCAATTGCAATGGCAATAGATATGAAGATCCACAATTTCCCCAGTACATTTGAGGGTTTGGTGGACAGCGTGGGGCACTGGAGGAAGTATCAGTCATCCACCATTACTAGGGATTCCGTTTGAATTGGCATTTTGAACTCCCAATTAATGGAGTGGTGACCACCTCCTTTTGTACGTACAAGTCAATGAGTTTCTATGAGTTGCTTGATGCTACAGTTGCTACAGTATTAGATGATATGAGGTGTCTGTCACCAGATCTCACCAGCCTAAGTCAACATGGAATCCCACTTAACTACTGGAAACACGATGTCGGTATTCCATCCCGAAATTCTTGGTTCACCCATTTCTAGTGGTAAAAATTCCAGTATCATCCTTGATTCAACGGACTCAGTGAAGTATATAACATTATTTCATATTATTTCTATCATTTTCTATCCATCTGTGACTCCCATCTTAGGATTCCGCTAAGATTTTCCATATTTTCACGGATCCCACATCCACGGATCCCCCCTTACTCGCGAGGTCACAAGGAGAACCTCGTCGTTGTATCGGATACTGAAACCACTTGGGGTCTGTTGAGGCCTTGGCCGGCCCAGGACAGTTTTCAGGCCCATGCTGCGTGAGAAACATATAAAGTGGGGGAAAATGGGCTGGAAGCGAGAAACCAATTCAAATTTGGGATTGAAGTATGAAAGGATTAGATTGGGGTACCCAATAGGATGAAACATGGAACATCAAAATAAATTAACTCTGTTTGAAACCGCTCACTAAACAACTCCGGACTTCTTGGGAGATATTTCTTCCTTGTGTCTTTTTGTTTAAAGCCAACCTGTGATGGTTTCCGCCCATTTTTCTGTACCCTTTGGTTTAACGAGCATAAAGATGGAACATCCACTTTTGCAGATTGCGGATCAGCTAGCCTGAAAATCACTGGAGAGTATCGTTCCGCAAGGAATTTGGGGCTCAGACTCAGCAATATCGAGTCTACGATGCATGAATTATCCAACCGCACACGGCATCTACTGTGAGCTGATCCGGCCATGCTTATGTTCAACTGAACCATCAAAGTGAACGAGATGTAACGGACCCCAAACTGCGAAGATCTTTTTTTTTCTCCCAGTGATCGCCCAGGCACTTGCTGAGAGTAACAAGAAAGCTACTGCCCTGGCCCATCATGCTGGCCTGCGGCAAGCGAACCATGGGCTATGAGCCAACCAACCAACGACCCTTGGGGCTCGTTGCTACGTGGCTGTCATTTAATGCCATTCTATGGGGAAACAAAGAATCTATTGGAACAATTTTGAACCTTCAAATCATGATCCAAGCACGGGACAAGCACACCATGTTCCATCTCCAAATGTCGGCTGTCAAGCACTTTCTCTGCCACTCAGTATGCTCCGTTCACTTTGGGGTCATCTCAACTATGGATCTCGCTGAATTGCACTAGAATTAAGTGAGTTTTGGGATGTTTTTTTTTACCAATTGACTCAAACAGATGGACAACCACAAAGATCATTGCAGTATATACTTTGGCAGGACCACTTTAACCATTTTCAACTTGTTGCTTTTTCATCCTTTCTCCCCTACTTACCATCTGCGTTCTTCACATCAGTTCATCACAAATCTTGGAAGAATCTAACAACCCATACGGCGCCCCTTGGATTCCCCGCAAAGTTCAAGCAGGCCGCAGGTGCCATGGTGCAGAATCACAGGGATAGTGGTAGGGTCAGAACATATAAAAATATCCTGTCGACACATTTCGAACCCAAGGGCAGCAACGACATCAATACGGACACTCTTCTTTTTTGGAAGTCTAAGAAGCGTTTTCAATACGGAATAGTACGGACGCTGCGTCCAAGCTTGTGAGTGCAATGCGCACCATGACTCAATCCAATTCCCGACGTCATTTCCATGCTTCGCGTGGTAACGAATCCTTCTTAGTGCCGAGACTCTGTGTTTTTGCAATGGATTGGTCCTCTCAACACCCAACGAAAAGTCACTGGTTTACCCTCTTGTAATTTGACATAGCTATTGAACATGGCCATAGAAATAGTTGATTTAGCCATCATGGTGATTTTCCCATCAGTTTTTTGTATGTTTACCAGAGGGTATTGGGGAACTGACCAAGTCCCTCAGCTTTTCACCCGCTCAGCATGGACGGAACAGCGGAGAACTGAGTGGTTGGAAGCCGTCCCAAGGTATGGCATGATTTGATCATTTTTGAAAAAATATACAAATAAGGAAATATAGGTGTGGTATTAGATTACATGATATTATTATAGCTTAGCTAAGATAGACATATTATATTGTATATTGTTTTATATTGTCTTAACTTGTACTATTCTACTGTATTGCATTGTATTATGCTGAGGTGTAAATCTATTGTATAAATACTCTTATATAAATATTGTCATATATCCCATAGGATCCATGGTGCTGGTATATATGCTAACATAAAGGGGGTATATTGATGGGATCCATGTTACCATATATAGCAGCACCATGGATCCTATGGGTATTGTCAATTGGGTTCATCATTCCAGGGAGGGTTTATTTCGTACGATCATTGAAACCCCGAGCTCATCATGTCTCGGAGAATTCTCCGAGATGGTCTCTGCACTGACCGACCCTCTAGATGAAACGGGTCAAAATGTAGGGCCACAAAAAAAAGTATATAGATTGAATATATATATATATATATTATGTATATTATATATATATATATACGATATATATCTTGTATTAGCCATCCAATATTTCAGGGCTAGCGGCTAGCGGCGAGCCATTTTTGACCCAAAGCCATGGGGCCCCATCTGCGGCCGGATCCAGCGTTCCGCGGGAATCTCTCAGCACCTGGCCGGATCGAGGTCCCGGAAGATGCACAAAATTTCTGCCCCAGGCGACAGTTTGACCAGTTGAAATGGAACCATAACTATATAACTCTTAACTTATAAGTATATTATATATATAATTATGTAATTATATGTAATCATATATAATTAAATATAACTATATATACATATTACTATATCATATTATATATGTACTTATATATAATTATATATATATATATATATATTGTATGTATGATAATAGATTATACTCCCAGAATCTCCCAAAGATGCGATGGTTGGTCGCAAAAATGATCACATCCAGCTTTGAAGGTCTGAAATAACAAATAGCTGCTTCTCAGAAAACATGTTGCTTGGTCTCAGGATCACCTAGAGGATCCCAAAGGTGCAAATTTCATTGAACCAAGATGGATTTCCTTCGAACAGAGGCCACGCAAAAACTTCAAAGATCACTAGACATGGCCGAAAAAGTCATCAGTTTCTTCACGTCAACAAACTTCTGATTGGATCCAATTGGAAGGTTTCACAGTTGCACCGGCTGGCAACTGCAGCAGCCCGAACTTTTTCCATCTCCACGCAGCTGCGATTGCTTGCCGCATCACGGCGCGAGCCGGGAGATGTGTTCGACATCTCCAGTCATTGCTGCGTTGCCGTACCTTCCCATGTTTGATGGAAACGCAATGCCAGCAACCTCCGCACAGCCGGAAACCCCGTGGCCCGTGACATCGATCGGTTTCTCGCCGGTGCTGTCTCCAATTCAAAAATCGTCACCGCACAAAGTTGCTATACGAAATTCACCATCAAAGACCACACAGACCCCGAGAAATTGGAGACATTGCAACCAGCAAGTCTGTCCTTTAATGGTGACTTCGGCATTTAAAGGCGTGTCACACGGGTGCAATCAATGGCCACAACGGCCCTCGTTTGTTCCAAATGACAACATCTCAAGGCCATTGCTTGGTGAACAGGTTGAGCTGCAAGCGGCACGCTGCAGATTATTCGGCGTTTTACCTCATCAAAGTGGGGATGGATCAAAAACTAGTTGCCATATTTGGGGGGATTAAATTTCATCTGCCAGCTATTTTGGCGTTCACCAGGGTACTGTTTGGTTTTGACCCATACCATACCCAAGTGATCATCTGCCGTTTGAATAACACCCCACATGCTTCTCTTGAGCTCCACAAAGAAGGGTGACCTATGCATATGGCATCCCCAATACTGTCTTAGTACATGGAGATGGGTCAATACTGCAATGTCCACACAAGTAGATCCAAGTAGATCCAAGTATCATCAAGTATCTATATGAGAACTGCTGCCTAGGGCTGTTTTGCAAACGGGATCAGCTGATTGAACGCTGCCTATTCCGAGAATTGACTCAATTTTTACAGTATTTTACTCACATTAAGACGTGCTCCAAGTGCACAACCTGTAAAGCATTTTGAAATCACCAACCTATTTGGCCTTTTAGATCAGTCTTCTATCCATAAACATTACATTGCTTGCTCTCTCATGTTCGGTTTCAATAGGTGCCAGGATTTATCATGGAGTAGCCCTGTCCTTTTGGAAGGTGGAAGGATGACTGTTGGAAACAGAAACATGCTTCAACCTCTTCACCCAGCCTGTGCTGTCGCAAGGCTTTTCTCAGCATTAGGCCCCACACTTGTTGGCTCGCGGTACCCAGAAACCTACTTCTTCAGAAAATGTCAACGTTTCAAGCTCTGAACCTCACCAGGTTTTTAAGTACCTGCGAGTTCCAAGTGTTCATCGACATTGAAACGCGGCAGCTTATTGGCCACGAATGGCCGGAAGATGGGCATCAACCCACATCGTTTCTGTGGGTGCAAAGCAAGGTGCTGTGCTCTGCATTGCTCTGCACGGGGATCCAAGTGTTCCATCATCCAGTGATCCTGGGTTTATTAACCCAACTTGAACTTGGGGGGCCTTCCTGCAGCTACGCAAACAAACAAGTGTATAAATATACTGTATATATATAATATTATAGAGAATCATGATTTTCCCAGAGTTCTCACACTTTAAATAGGATAATCATCAATGCACATGATCTATCTTTTTTTTGTCCATGGTCATTGAAGCATTCAGGGGTCGGTCAAGTGACTAGGCTTCATAAATGATGGTTTCCTAAGTCATGCCCGGTACCCTTAAAATCATCCAAGATTGGTTACTATCAATGAGAACACCAAAGGTTTGGGGCGTGGGGTACCCAATGGTACCCATAATTTAGGACACCTCCATTTGCATGTGAGAATAAATGTCTGTTGGGCCTTAGGCCACATCAACAGCAAGCACAGCAACTCATTTGCTTCTGATCAGGCACGAATTCCAGGAATGATTAGGGCATGCATCTGTTCAACCCTAGCGACAGCGAAGGGTATCTTTAAAGGTACCCTAGCGACAGCGGGATACACCACGTTCCGCCGAGGCTGAATATCATATTACAGTTCATCTCAGTTCTAAAGGGTTCAGACAGAGAATTCATCCAATAGAAACAAGCATTCTGGAACTCCATCAGTTCTATACTTTGTCCAAAACAACAACTTTAGACGAAAAACATCCATCAATAACCAATTTCATCATAAATCACACATCATTTGAACATATTTTATCCATCAATAAACAAATATCACAATAAACTATATATATATATAATTATATAATTATACATAAAACAATCTTCTCCTTGAAGGCTATGGACAACGCCGAGCGAGGGCTCAGCTAATCATCCATCGAAGCAGCGAAGCAGGTAGGATCTGGATCTCCGACTTCGAGGTCTCCTGCGCTGCTGGATTTCCAGACCTGGAGGGTGGAGGATCAGTAATGGAAAATGGCCCATAGAAATAGTGATCCTAACCCAGTATATCCAGTATTGTAGGATCAGTATTGGTTGTTCCTGGCCAATAGGTATAATACCTACCCATAGAGGTAATGACGTTTACAGTGTGCGAACTGGAAAATGGATGAAAATGGCCCATAGAAATAGTTGATTTACTTATTAAAAATGGTGATTTTCCATAGTTATGTTAGTTTACCAGGGGCTAGATTTACCTTCCGGAAACATGTCCAAAAGCCGGATGTTCATGGGCGTCAGTATTCTCGGCTAATCTCGGATAAAATAGTTTCTCTGATCTAAAATGTTTCCGGGTATGGTTTCTTCGGGTTGGCTGAAACAGGGTACCCCATATATATAATATATATATAATATATATATATAATATTATATTATATATATATTTAATATTATATTATATATATGGTTGATCATTATTTGTCCTTTAATGTTGTCGTTGCTCTGAATATGCCATTATGTTCCGTAAACCATGCCGATCTTGTTGGATATATCTTATCACCAAATTTCATGACCAAAACTTCTAATTTCCACCATTCATCTGGCCATGTATGGCCATTATGCAAACCACCATTAAACCCTGGAAAACCCCACACATTTCCACTGTGAAATCACTGATCCATCCACCATCTTCGGTGAAATCCCATAAAATCAGCCCTCAAAAAAGGCTGCCGACTCCGTGACTCCCATGAAATAGCATATATTAACCATATATTAACCATATATTAACCATATATTAACCATATATTTCTTGCTGAAAACCATACCATTTTCCCATCATTCGACCAAAAAAACGCCAGGTCTCCTGAGCACAGGGCCGAAAGCTTCTTGACTTTGGCGTACGAAGGCCGTGGACGAACTTCATGTGCACTTCCCTCCTAAAAATCCAGTCGACATGAATCATCATGAATCCGAATCCATGGAATAAAATAGAATATGAATGATAGAATAGTATGTCCTCATATGTCCTCCATATTATTCCGTACAGTTTTCAATGGCAATTTTGGGGAGATGATAAACAGACATGTCAACTTGAAGAAGGAAATGGCCAAGCTATGTGACGAAGATGTTTATCCTGCAGGTGCGTTGCACATCACGGGAGGATTCGGGATTGTTCGCGAACCCAAATCCATGATGGCGCTCGTAAGGCGTCACGACATGACAAACATACTGTCTGTCGTTCTGTCTGTCCAAGTCAAGCCAAATCCACTAGGCTCCCAACGCATAGGAACTTGGAAATCCATGATGACACTGTTCGCAGCTAAATGTGTACCCACCGCTCTCACCGCAGTGGCCGCACTTTCCGTAGTAGTCGACCTCCAGTTGCGTTCAAAAACAGAGGGATTAAGAATTATCAATTGTGTTTAATATCATCAATTTATTAAACATGTTATATCAATTACTAGTTCAACCATCAATTCTGTTATTTAATGTGTTTCAAATCATGGATGCTCCATAGAATTGTTGGGATTCTTTGGCACACCAAAAAATCCTCCCATGAACAAGGATTTGAACCTAATATAATAAATTCAAATCATTGATTTCCCATTCCCAATATATATATATATATATCGACATATTCGAGATATAGAACAACAATTTGACAATACTATAACTCAATCTTCCCATAAACATCCATAATATCATAATTAAACAACATATATCTTGATGGTTCTTGATTCAAGTCTTTCGCCAAAGCTCCGGTTCAACGTCCCACAATTTGGCACTGGGACAGCCCCACGGAACCGGAGATGCCACAGAGACTGCAGGAGATCGCTGGTCCGATCACGCGGAGTCCCACAAACCTGGGAATTTCCAGGGGAATTCAGCAAGGCCCAATGGATTTATGTTTTAAGATGTGAAATTTTGGGGAAAATTGATGAACATTGGTGGATTTAAGACAATTTCATCCGATTTCAGATGTTTTAAGATGTGAAATTTTGGGGACAATTTTAATGAACATTAAGGTGGTTTTAAGATGATAATTTCATCCGAATTCAGATATTTAAAGATGTTATATGAATGGGAAAATTGGGATGCTCATTTAAGGGACATCACTGTACATTGAGGTTTCCTAAAATGGGGGTACCCCTAAATCATCAATTTTCATAGCATTTTCCATCACAAAAACCATCCATTTTTGGGGATCCCCAATTGATGGAGCTTCCCCACTTCTTTTTCAGCTCCTCTGCTCAGCCCAGGAACCCTTCCTTTTCCAGGATGTCGCTGCCAAAGACATCCCCTGCCACCTCATGGTCCTACCAGGCGGCCGTTTTTGGCGATTGACTGATAGGGAAGCCCCTAAAAACATAGTTTGCCCCATCAACAAATCGGGATTAGATGTGAATCATCGGATCATCAAACAGGCCCCGAACTAAATGGACATTGCAATGGGAAAAACTTACAATCCCACATGGTGCTAAAGATGGAGGGTGTACCCCATTCGTGTTGGTTGGTAATAGTTGGGATAGTTGATTGATGGGTAATACGGGTTGCTTAATGGTTGGTTAATGGATTAGTTTTGAGCTATGATCTTGAGAAGTTCAGTGACAAATACAGGTGCAATCCCAAGCGCTACGAACCCAAGTGTAGTCAAAGTACATATGTAATGTGATGCATCATAGATTTACAATCCATCATATCTATATATATATAATGTATATTGATACGTATATATTGGGGATCTTGTTTGCTACCCCATTTCATGTTTGTTTGAATCCATACCCTCCAGTTGATTTAAGGTCCATGTATAGATGTTTTTCCTGGGAAAACCATGGTTCTTTTCCATAGCGTTTTGTTAGTTTTCTGTCCAATTATATCCCAATACATATCCCCATATGAAGAGTTGGCCCATATCCCCGCCACAACTTCCCAACTTAAATCCCCATATCATTTATATTCCATAAAATATCCTGATTATTTATGATTGGCAACATCTCATACTATCCCATCGTATTTCAAATAAACAAAAAAACACAGTTGGTTTATGCTTCTACTCCCATAGCTTTGTTGGTCACACAAAAAAAACATGGATCTACAAGGACTATGTGAAGGCACATAACCAAAAATACACATTGTAATGGTTGGTTATCCCAAAATTATGGTTATTACTTACCCTTCCGACAATTCAACATAGCTATGGAAATTCACAATGTACAATAATAAATGATTTGGGAAATCATCCAACTATATAAATGGGCCATCTATACCGTGGCTATGTTAAATTACCGGAGGGTAGATATTGCCGAGTATCATGTATGATAACCGTAAAATACATCATTGTTTTTGGTCATTGTTTGATGGTTGTCCCCCAAAATGGGAGCTATAATCAATTCACGATTACCATACATGGGTTATATCCCATTGTATCCCCAACAATGTCCCCACAAAATGCCTGATTTCGTGTTTCTACTCCCTCCACATTCTTGGTGATATACCCTCCAGTAAACTAACATACCTATGGCCTCTGGAACATGGACCATTTATAGGTGATATATGTTTCCTTTTTTTCCTTTTCTATAGTTATCTTACTTCACCAGAGGGATAATGTTGTATGGTAACTTTCCGATACATACCTATGTTTCCTATTATGTTTCATAGTCATGTGCCTTTACATGTGATATGAAACATAGGTATGTATAGGAAACATTATAAATATCACCAATAAAACAAAAAATCGGAAACATCATACCACCTAGAAAACACTCTATCATCTATCTATCTATCTATCTATATATATATCACCTATTGTTTCACAGAGCAACCCCCAAAACAATCCCAACACATGGGCCCTAGAGCCCCCGATGGCACCTCCAGAATCCGATCGCCCAAGGTCAGCTGCTGAAGCTGAGGCTTTACCGAGAAACTTCGAGCGATAGCGGTCCTGGCTGGGGGAAATGCCGATTTGGGATTTCATCAACTTATTGTAGTATATTAATGATAAGAATTTATTGTCCCAATTTCAATATATTAATGATTTATAAGTCATAGACAATATATATATAGTTATATATATATAGTATATTAATGATTAATGTATCTATTAATGACTAATGTATATATCAATGTCTAACAATAATAGTATTTAATGTGCATTTCCACAAATACCGGATATACATACAGCATACATCTGGAATGTAATGCAATGCAATGCGACGCAATGCAATGCGATGCAATGTAATGAAATACAATGAATTTAATGTCATGTATGTGTGAATGCATGTGTGTATGTCTACACGTACATATGTACATGCACATGCACATGATAGGTTACATGTATATACTGTATACTATTATATACCGTGTAAATATGTATGCATACACATTATTCACACGCACACACACACACTCACACATACATCTACCTTTATATATGTTTGTAGTTTGTACTGTATTATAATGTATTATACATCAGCCATGACCTTCAAAACCAATGTACTTACCTATCCCCAGCAGCTGAGCTCAGCATCAAATCAGGAACCCATCAGTATCCGTGTGCCACCAGTATCCTGTGTGGATCATAACCCAAAGTCTTGTCGAAACATCAGTTGATATCATTTGAGTATGATCAGTGTGATCAAAATCGGGTACCCCAAAGAAATTACCTGCTTCATAATTCTTCATACCAACAATGACCAAGCCATCTGTGCTCCTATCGCCACTTCTTGGGGATTTTTGGAAATTTTGGGGTTTGAATTTGAGAAAGAAACAGCCAATGCGGCCGGGAGTCTTGAGGTCTGATACTGACTCGCTGGCACCAACCTGCGAATCACTGGTCACATCGACAGCAGGAATCGCTGGCGCTTGAAAGCAACCCCTCAGAATTGTCCGCCAGTTGGATGTGATCACTCATCACCCCAACTACGGATGTAACATGACACTTTCATAGACTGTCTACAAATTGGAAACAGAGATAAACAGAGCATAGAAAATACAGGCGTCTTGATGCCAACATCCCCACCTCGAACGTTTGCACGTGCAACTGATCCAGACACTTCACCCTGACCTTGGCGACTGAGGTTACCCTCCCATCGCCGCGCCACGGCACCACGGCAGCACGGTGCCATGGGACCACTCCACTGGGTTCCGGGCTAAAAGTGCCCATTCATCGTCGAATCCTGGTTGAGTGGCACATGCCTAGTGCCTATAGATGCACGTGTCACATAGTGGCACCATTGCGAAGCCTGAAGCAAATGGATGTCCAAGAATTAGATGCCACTGACAACCCAGTGGTATAGCATCATTTTACCTCTTAACGGTCTTAACGTTTCCGTTTTGGGTTATAAGTACCCCATCTGAAGACCAATCCATGTTGACAATATCCACATTTTTGAACGCCCATGTCCTGTTTCTTCACGTGCCATTTGCCGTTCAGCGCTTGGAATCTGGCGGCTATGACAATAATTAGTTGCAAAGGCTTGGAATGATTCCCCTGTTGGTATCAACCTGCACAAATTTATCTATTCTTGGGTTGAATCATGGATGATCTGGGTATGATCAAATGAAAGCATCTCAACCGTCACCAAGTGAAACATCTTTTGAGGTTCCAACACCAGCAACAAGACAAACATCAACATCATCAACATAACAAGATCAAGAAGCGTGTATCGAACAATTCCGCACGACTTGCACGTGCAAGGGGTTGGTTCAGCAATGCGTTTAGGCTGTGCCCGGATCAATTTCCCATGATCGGAACGCCCTGGTGAATGCTGGAGAAGCCGTGATGATCCCAATGGAGAAGCACGCCCCCAGTTTTAAATCGGATTGAAAGCTCTAACATTAATTTTCATAATAACTACCATTAATTTTCATCAACATCATTTATCCTATACTTATACCCCCGGCTGATCCCAGCTGATCTTGGGGTCTCACAATCATCACAGATCCTCTTTTTTTGGATCTCCCAGTCAACTCCCACACGACCTGAGCAGCCCCGCCTCCCAAAACTGAGGTGGCTCGCGGCTACTGTGGGCCAGCGCTACTTAACGGTCACGTCCGAACTTTAAGTGCCGAAGAAACCCTGATGGCTTGTGACCCATAACATGGAGCCCAACATTTACTACCCAACAACTGAAACATTTGCAACAATCATCAAGGTTCAACGATCAGCTAGCTATCTGCTTTCAAACTTTCTCGAGGAGAAAACCTCACATGTTGCCATGAAACTCCAATCAAAGGGCCACTCGAAGGTTTCCAACAAGTCACACCATGCTGCAACGTGCATTTTTACATCGCGGCATCTGGTTCGTCTCTAGTGACCCAGAGTCTTGGCTAAGTTCAACTTCAGCCCATACCACAAAAATTATCAAAAATTGATACGACTCATCTAAAATATGCGTTGCATCTACAACCTTATTGCTACCGACCAGTTGCGGGCCGCAAGTCCTGTGACAACTGACCAACTGGCAAAGGGGTCAACAAATCTCTTCCGCACCCGCGGAGTACTGCACAGAACTCAAGCATCACTTCATTTCCTACGCTTGGGAAGGAGGAAAAGGGCCAAGAGTTCAAAACAATAAAACCCAGCATAGACTCAAGATGATTTGACATGATCCAGCTGATGGTTTCAACATGTTCAAACCCCTGAAAGAAAAGATAAGAAATCAAGACACCAACCAGTGATTCAAAGCTCCGCTTTGCCAGTCACTTCGCATTTGATGCGCGGCCTCCGTGTCATTTGACATGAAGATCTCGCCATGTGACATGCACATCTGTCCGTTCCACCAGCCGAAATCTCCTCGCACGTCTGTCGGTCGCAAACACCGAGCGTGGGGCGCAGCGGACATCCGCAGTGGACACTTCCATAATGACGAGTGAGGTCCATTGAGGCCACCATGGCCATTAATATGCCATATATGACACGGCATGGATTTTTCGGGCCTGAAATTTGACCCCTGGACCCTTCCTTTGAATGATCTTTCTACTGTACATCAACAGTTGGATTTCCGGCCGCGTCCACTACCCCGGTGCTTGCAACAGCCGCGACCCTCTGGGAAGTTTGTTTCGGTCGTGCGGGCTGGTGCCGCGGGGTCTGGTGACACAGGAGTAAATCCCCAGCTGTGAAAGTGCCGCCAGTGCACAGCGCAACGTTAAACGGCCTCGTACACGGATTTGACACCATAGATACACCATAGTATAGGTCATATTCATAGCATCATTTCAAATCATGGCATACCACGCGCTTGCACACAATTCTTTCACAGCCGCGCTTCAAGCCAAACAAATCATCCCCAGCAGTTCAAATCTGCATTGGCTGATTCAAAGCCTTTCACAAGCTGCGGTGCTGGATAGTCACCCAAAAGCATACAGCACATTCATAATTATACTTAAATGAGAAACGGGTTAAAGTTAGAACCCTAGAAACAATCTTGGACAACGTCAGGTGCTGAAATATTCATCGACAAAGAAAAGGCTTCCAACTTGGGCAACTAGGTCCGACCAAACGCAATTTGTTAATGATCCCAAGTAGATCACACAGGTTGTGTCCCCTGCCTCGTACAGCCCTCCTTCAATCACGTTCAATTAATGCCTTGGAGCTCGTAGGGTGACTATCGGACAGTGCAACAGAAGCCTACCGTGTCTATTGTTTCGATTGTGTCTTCAGTCATACTTAGTGACCTCGTATGTGTAATATATCATATACCTTATTGGATTTAATGTCTGATGTATGCTCGCCTGCATTATGTGAACAACATGTCAGAATTGCACACATACATACTAATGTATACAAATAATTCAGTGAACACACTTCACTATACTATATATCTGTATATGAATTCACTATCAATATATGTATACAACAAAATATATAATCACACTGTCATCATATGTAGATTATATATATATACGTATATATATACATAGTAACATGTCTGTCAAAGAGTTTATTGTACGTTATGTATACTAAATGTACATTTACCAACTATGATTACTAGATCCCTGGAGTAGATCTCGGTGCCCGACAGCAACACATCTGCTCCTTCGCCTGAAAAAAAACACCATGGCTGCTGCAAAGCCAGCTGATCTTTCGAATATCATGCGTTTGTGTCAATCAATCATCTGTTTGTGCAGTATTGCTTGAACATACAATTGCATGAATATATTATATAGATTGATTGTATATTCACAGGAAACGGACATTGATGTTGAAACCTCACCATTTATGGATAGATCATTTTCCCATACAATTTTCCCATTTATAGACTATAGATCATTATTTTACTGGTTATAGGACTGGTTATAGGAAAAACGATGGGTTTCCCACATCTGTTGCTTACTTTAACCCAGCGGACAAACCAGGGGCAACCCCTGAGTTTCAGGCTCCCATTGCTGACATCTTTTTGCTGGACTTCACGGCAATCCTGATGACCCAATTAGCGCTTAAAACGGTGTACCAGGGCTGACTTTAAGGGCAAAAAGTAGAGGATTCCTCCAACACATTTAGAGGTTTCAAATGGTTTCAAATGGTTTCAGCTGTCTTTAATATTTTTGAATAGTTTAATTGTGTTGAACAAATGTTTAAAAAAAAACACACAATCTATCTCTCAAATCAATGACCCAGTAACATTTAGATTCAGAGCATTTTTTGAACCATATGCTTGTGGACCAACAGGTTCCCAAACAACACAGACTGGGCTGCCTCATGTTGCAGTGCCATTATCCGATCACATCACATTACAGTTGTTTAATATTTAAACTATGATGTGACTAAGATATGATTAGCATACTACATCAGGTGATTTATGTTACCTGTTAATCATTGCTCTTTATGTAGAATCACCGTTCCAATGTTCCACATTCTTCACATTCTTAACATCTCTGGTAAAAGATATACACATCAAAGAGATATCTTAGTCAGGCTACCAACATCCACATGTTGGGACTAACAGGATAAATCATCAGGATTCAATATCCACGAAAACGGTACGATGTTTATGTGCGCACATACTTTGTATACGTATCATATATCAATAATCAATGATTCTATTCATAACAACACTAAACATAGGACAATAATACCTAGTTAGGATTTGTAATATGTGCATTATACAAAAACACACAATCTTAGCTTATAGTGAATGACTATACAGAGATTCCACCCCATAACTGCGGTTGATTTGCAATGCCAGCAACATATCATATATATATACACATATGGTGGTAGCAATTCACACAATAGAGATACGCATAGATCCCATAAGAGTATATGGCTTATCTACAATATACTCATGGCCTGATTGATTTACTATCTATGGTGTATATATATACATATGTATATATATACATACATGACACAATATATCTTATACATTAATATACCCATTATATATATATATATGGAGGATTCCTTAAATGGGGGTACCCCCTTTCATCATCCATTTATAGATGGAATCTCCGGCAAATAAACCATCCAGCTATTTGGGTACTTCCATTTATGGAAACCCTAATATAGATACATCTGGGTAAATTATAATATTTCACTAACCTGAATCTTGCGGCCATTTGGGGATGATTCCCCTTACTAACCATGATTCCAGTGAGGGAGAACAGTGAGGTCGTTATAATTTACCCAGATACATTGAACTATATACTAAGCGCAGCAGCTGCATCTGAGCATCGTCTTCTCGTTGTGCGGCGAGTTCGAGAGACGATGATCGATGAGCTGTGCGGCCATCTCACGATGCCTCTCCTGCATGGCGACCATGGCGAAATTGGGGGTGAAACATGAGATTTACCAAGAAAACATAGATGGATTTTGTAGGAGTTCATGAGATTTCATGAGAAATTTATGAAATTTAAAGATTTAGTAGGATTCAATAGGATTTAATGGAACAACAGAGGACAATAGTGGGATATAGTGGGTATATATTGGGAATAATGTTCACTGATAAGAGGATCTACTGGGATTCTATGGGGGTATGGGGACCTATATAATGGAATACAACCAACAGTTGTGGATAATGAGTTTGTCTGAGAATGGGGTATGCCATGGTGTACCCCCAAATGGCTATCAAACAATAGAGAAAATTATGGCTAATCGATGAATTATGGGTACATTTTTTTCAGACAAATCCATATAAACAACATGTCATGACATAGTTAATTGGGATATCTCTACAAATGGGAAATATTTCTATCCATCTGTTTACTAATCAGAATATATAAACCATCTACATGACTCGGAATAAACGGATATATATATATATATATATACACGTATTTATATACGTATATGTTTTATTTGGGGATGGTATGGGGTGTTTATCCAATTGGATAGACTGTCTATATATAAAAAGAAGGGCTCCCGAAAAAATGCAGAACAGTAACATTATCCCCAATTGCTATTTATATTTATAACTATTTTTATATATAGTATAGGCACTTTCGCGAAACCTTGGCCGCAGTGAGTGCTCACGCCTGTCATCAATGCAAACGCTCAATCTTCCAATCGATTCGCCAAAACTCTTTGCTTCTTCTGGGTGCTTTCAACCCATCCCAAATAGTAAGACGAGGTGGCTAGTGGTGATTGAGGTTCACACATAGGGATGGAAAGTAATGTGGTGGAGCAAACAAAGCGCATCAATCTTTGGGTTTATCTTGTCAACCTCAGTACCACCAAAAACAGCCTTTGAATTCATCAAACATCATCGAACCATTAACCCGACTTCCTGGCCAAAACCAACCACTATAACTGGGCTACCCCGCATCTCCGGCATTGGCTCTCAAGTATTGGATCCATTCCTACGACGCCCACAGCAAGGGAGCAACAAACAGTCTTCAAAGTCATCAACTTCAGCAACATCTCATAAGTAGAACATGGGCAAATGCAAATCCAATGAACAGAGCCTAAAAAATCAAACACCAAAACCTCATCAAAACTGATCTTCTGCAGGTTGACACCCATAATATGGGGACAGCTTCGGTCACCCTGGTGCCCTGATTTTCACACCCAAATAGCTGGTGCTTGTGGATCTTCATCCCTCCATTCACGAAGGAAAAACATAAGGTGACAATTCCCCATATATCAACGAAACGATGCTGGTTGTAAGAGTATAATGTCATGTATTCTCATTTCTCCGGGCATCTCCACGCTATGTCCCCCTGAAAAAACATGTAGACCATCATTGTCCCAGATTCTGCTGGTTTATATCCATTGATATATGCCAATTCCCTACAAACCGCAAATCCAGTGGTCTAACATCTCAGTTTCTCCATTGACATGGGTCCAAAACCATGTGCTGTAATTGTATTTAACACATTTCATGATATCCCAAATCCTAGGGTTGTTGGGTAAGTCATATCCCCAATGTCTTTTGGCTATGGCTATTACTTGTGGGCGCAGTTCCAATGATAAGATCCAAATAACATACAATAACCATCTGGTTGTTAACGGGGCCCATATCCCAAGTAATGAACTCACAAAAGTCCACATAATTCGATATCGAATAAACATATCTCCATAATAAATATATCTGGGTAAATTATAATATTTCACTGACCTGAATCTTGCGGCCATTTGGGGATGATTCCCCTTACTAACCATGATTCCAGTGAGGGAGAACAGTGAGGTCGTTATAATTTACCCAGATTTATGGATTATATGTGGATATCCACGTAATTCCCCATCCAGCTTGGTTATCCCCCTTGGCTTCCACCCCAAGCTGCACCACCTCCAGTTGAAGCGAATTTCCAGTACTGATTCCCCAGTGAGTTGACCACCATTTTTCATCGTGAACCCCCATCTACCGCATATGTATATATATATAGTATATATATATATAGTATATAAATATAGTATATATATATAGTATATATATATAGTGTATATATATATATAGTGTATATATATATATAGTGTATATATATATATAGTGTATGTATATATATATATAGTGTATATATATATATATCGTATATATAAATACACATCCCTATTTCTGGTTAAATACCCCCAACAAATCCTTCGTAGGAACGACAACAAAATAAAACGGTGGCCTCGTAGGAAATGTCGCCGCTGCCCGTCTGGTCCGCCTCCTTCATGATGCTTTCCACCTCAGCTGTTGTTCAAATATGGTTAATATACGGTTAATATATGGGTAATATATGGTTATTATATGGGTAATGATGGTTAATGATAATCTGGTTGGTGGTTGACCTACCCCTCTGAAAAAATATGAAAGTCAGTTGGGATGATTATTCCCAATATATGGAAAAATAGAAAAATGTTCCAAACCACCAAGCAGATTATATTGGGAATCCACCACCATGGGTTTCAAATATTGATCATAGTGTATCCTCAATTTTAAAATATCCCAATATTGGGATCGTCAATATTGTTTGAGGATATTATGTTGATCATTTCTGGTAATATGGAGGATCATTCAATTGATTGAGGATATCATATTGATAACGATGGGATGAGGAGATCATATCGATAATATCATAATGGTGGTACCGTAGTACCAGCAAAACGTAATATCAGTGGAGGATACTTAAAGATATCACATTGATTGTTTTTGGTAATATGACCATTTCAATTACATTCAAAACGCATTTCTGGTTGGTCATATATCCTGTATTCCCATTCTTATCTCATTCAATCACTATGAAAATCACCATGAAATCCCATGAAATCCCTATGAATCCTGAGGTTCCCAGCTGCTGCACCGCTGAAGGTCTCCCCAAGCACCTTTTCATCGACTCGTGGGAACTGCTTGGTGGTTGCTGCTAACCCCTCTGAAAAATGATGGAGTGAAAGTCAGTTGGGATGATGACATTCCCCAATATTTCCCAACTGAATGGAACAATAAAAAAATGTTCCAAACCACCAGCCAGTATATTTGAATAATATAATCATATATATGATTTATATGATTATGTATGTTCAAACTGCAAACAAAACAACCACTTAGCAACAAGAAAAACACGCTTATTTTCTTACTCTGAGTTTGAGCAAGAGGCAATTGGGGTTGCACATTTTCATCAATCAAAATGGGCAACTGAACCAAGAGCAACATGAGGGGTCATCAGAACAAAAACAAGGTATTTGGTTGGGGTAAGAGACGGATACACACGGACAGGCGACATTGATCATGTTTAGCATAGAGCCAATAGTTTTGGCCAAATGGTTCTGAGACATAGTCATAGCAATCTTAAGTACACAAACAAACATGGAGATATATGATATGTGAAGAATAACATGACTGCAAATGTAATCTCGTCTAAAACTGTCATTGCAGATTCATTTAACGCAAAGTTGGCAGCGAGGCAAGACATCCGACCTTCTCTTCGCAATGGGCATAGCTACAATAACTATCTTGTAGGGTGTGGTGCCAAGGGTTGAAAGCTCTGCCAATCAAATAAATACATTGTTTGCAAATGTTTGCATGATTGTGCATGTATATGTAAGTATATAAATATGTATAATTATATATATACACAGTATTATATAATAGTATATTTATATGTACGTATATATAAATAGTTATATATATGAATACTGTATACGTGTAATTGACAAAACTGTCAGAAGACAGGCAAGCCGCCCCGATACCAGGACTTAGACCCCATGGAACATCTCGGGGCCCAGCCTCTCGCAAATTGTCAACCTTGGAACATCCGCACACGGTGACTTTACCAACAAAGAATAACTGGATATAACTGGATGTAATGGTGAAAAAACCTGGGGATGTTCAGACATGTTTTCTTATTTTTTCTATGTTTTTAATGATCAAACATGATCAACAATTGAGGTTCACCCAACAAAAAAGGATGATTTAGCCAGCAACTGGAATTGGAGGATTCATGATCAAAATTCTTCAGGACGCTCTGCCCTGGTCTCCATGTTGATCCAGGATGATTTTCCCGCACCTGAGGCCTTAACCGTAATTTTGCCACTGTTGTCACAGTCGAACCTTTTAAAGGCAGCCTTGGCGAGACCCAGCGCAATCTTTAACATAATATCCTTTCTGCATCTTAAAGAAACCCAACACTATGTTCGATCAAGTCTAGTTGTACCCCCGAACAAAAAAAAAAACAATCCTTCGTTCCCTTTCACGGTTGATTTAAGCAGAAGCTGGCAAAAAACATCTCGAACACATGGGGTTGTTGGAAAATAGACTCCCCAAATCCCTTAGTTTATCAGAATTGTCACATATTTTCCACATCAAATGAGGAGTCGATCCATTTCGACCCGGTTGGACAAATCCGAAAAATCATATTCCAGAACGCTGGTTATAACTATTTATCCCATGAAATTCAAGATAGCCACAAACTATTTTTTTTCTACCCACACTCTTCATGCTTGTATCCAATTCGATATCCCCACAAGGTTGCTGACTATATCCCGTTAAAATCAGATGTGTGATGGATAAATCACAATATATCACAATGTTTAATGCTTAAACCACCATTTGTATCCATTGATTTATGATTAATCACACTTTGTGATGGTGCAATCACCATTTTTGAATATGTTTGATGCCTCAATCACAATTTTGAATCTCCAAATCCCAGCGCCGCAACGGTTAGGCTCCACACCAACAGCAGGTCGTCATGCAAAGCAATGCGCGTGGAGACCATAGCAGCCTCGTGGCTATGGACCGCTGAGGGATGCTGAGGGGCCAGTGAGATCATCATGCCATGTCCAGCATGGTCGAACCTGGACATACAAGATCTATAGTAAGCATTTATAGTTTACTTTTCCAGGTGACATTAATTATACAAGTTTCTAGGAGATAAAAAAAAAACATGTTGGATTTAAGAATCATCATGAATCTATCATCCATCTTGTTAAGTCTGTTAGGGGCTTGTGAACGATAAGAACCATTCAAGAACAACCGCCCAAACAAAAACCACGCACGCCGTCTGCAGCGAGTTGCTAAGAACTCAGAATAATGGATCTCCTCAGACTGCGTCGTGTCCAGCGCCTCGGGATGTCTCAGCTCAACGTTTGGGGGTTCCTTTGGATGTTGAGGTGTCATCCCCCAGTTTGATGACTTTCTCAGTTCGGGGATTTTACTAGCCATGCTTGATTACCATCAAAGATTCTCTTTTAGTTGATGTTTCATATATATATATATAATATAATATATAATATATATAATATTCAGATCATATTCAAAAATAACAACTGAGTGATGCTGATTTCGAGACATCCAGAGCAGCACGTCTATGTCACCCCCGAAATCTGCTAGGCTGGCCTGGAAAATACGTGTGGCGTCTTCGTCGTGGATGTGGCATTTGTTTTCCAGCACCTCAGCAGCGGACTTTCGGCGTTGCTTCAGCCAGGTGGATGTATGGGATGTTATGGGATATAGTGGCTGTAAAAATGGGATACACATCCAAATGGATGTCAAAGAAACATCAACAAACACCTCCTTTTTCTCGTTTTTTCACGTTGCAACTCCCAAAGATTGCAAGTCAAGTCGGACCATCTCAATGCGAAGCGCGGAGTCAGTCCGGTTTCCGCACCTTCTTCAACTCACCGATCTTGATGACACCAGTCTTATCCTGACGCAGTCACTCTCCAAGATCCACCATGTTCAAGCTGTAAACGCGACCAACAAGCCATGCACACCAACAACTGTGACAGTGCCTCTGTAATTTCGGAGCAGGTGGTGAAAAGGGCTGTAGCCAGGGTTTCAATACTTTTGAACGCAAGACCTGATGGGTAGCTAAATTGCTTCCCACCTTCAATTAGTGGTTATAACTATCATTGACTAAAACTACTAGTTGCCATTTATCCATTTATTGGCGGTTATCTCAAGCAATTAGTCATATACCCATTTGATTGATACCCATTTGATTAATAAATCAGTATACACGTATAAACTTTATTTATACAAACAGATTAATCAGAAATGCAATATAATTTAATACTATTAATCATAATATAAATGATATAATATGAATTTACTCCAATTTCAATCTAATATCTATCCTTTCAATATCGATTTAATATCACTCAAATATCATTTAATCTCCATTAACTTTGATACTGATGATATCCATTTAAGATCATATGAGATTCCATTCCTCTCCAATCTCAATATCCAGCAGCGTGGCAAGTTCCCATCCCCATCCACACTCGCCTCGTCGAGCTGCATGAAGGCTTCCCTGACTTTCGAGCGCTCCTCGTTGGTCAAAGACCACGCCTCGGCCAAAAAGCGTCTGACGAGGGCCGGTTGCAGGGTAGGGAGCAACAAAACAAAAGCTCAGGTGGAAGGTCAATTTCTACTTTTTTGGATGGAACATATTCTTTTGGGGGGGGGGAGAGGGGTTCAATTAATATTTTGTGGTTTTGCTTTGACAGTGAAGGGATGTCTGCATCACATGCCAACAGATAGAACATCCTGGCGCAGGGTCCCGGACCATCATCGAAAGGCACGCTCGGCGGAAGGCGGAGGCATTGCCAAAGTCCACCAGGGCATTCACCTGATTCTTCAGGGACATGGTGACACCATGGGTACCCACATGGTACCCATGGGTACCCTGCAGCAAACTAAGATAAATACCCTCTGGTAATTTAACATAGCTATTGAAAATGGCCATTTATAGTGTTTTTTCCCACTAAAAATGGTGATTTTCCATAGTTATGTTAAATTACCAGAGGGTAACTATGGAAATCCGGTAATGGTGGAGTTTCCATAGTTTTCCAGGAAATTCCCAGCACTTCCTCGGCACAAAAAAGGACACCGACGCCATAGCTTCACCAGTATTTTCCCCACAGGATTGCAAAATACCTTGCTTCATCAGCTAGACTCAGTTAGAATCAGTAAACAAGTCATTTTTAGAAAAATGATTTTGGTGTTCCCAGACTTCATCATAAATGTAATTATATAAATGTCCATGGTGTGTGTGTGTGTTTTCTTCCCAACTTCCCAGTGCTTCAAATTCTCGCCCAGGAGCTATGTCATTATTGACCTCCGTGGTGAGTTGTTCACGGTTCACCTCAGCATCCGGATACACGGTTGGATTGGGGGGATTGAACAATATATAGAATTTCATATACCCTCTGGTTATTTAACATAGCCATGGAAAATGGCCCATTTATAGATGGTTTACCTATTAAAAATGGTGATTTTCCATGGCTATGTTAAATAACCAGAGGGTAAAATTGGGATATATAGTTGAACAACATGTAACAAACATCTATAACAAAGATCTGTTGAGATACCAATCACCTATTGAGATACCAAAAACAACGAAGGTTCACCAGATTGTTTTTTGCGAATTGATCATACTAATCATCAATTAAGATGGTCCTGCTTTAGCGGCTTCCCGAGGCATATCAAAAACAACCTAAGACGGAGTCAGTCACCCGAGTCAATCGCCCCAAACGTCCGAGTCAGTAACCCCAGAGGGCAAAGTCAGTCGCGGGTGAAAATTAGCACAGGATGCAGGGAAACCATGAAAAGGAGACAGAGAGTCAGCAACCAAGAGTCAGTCCCCCTCGGAAGCTGGGAGGAGGATGAAGGAACCCGGAGGAAAACAGAAAGTCAGCAACAAAGAGTCGGTCACCCTGGAAGAAGCATCCAGGAACCCCCGAGGAAACAAAAAGTCAACAACAAAGAATCGGTCACCCAAACAAGAGTCAGTCACCCCTGAAAGGTATTATCTGTCTATCATCTATCTTTCTGTCTACCTATCTATCTTTCTGTCTATCCTATCCTATCCTATCCTATCCTATCCTATCTATCTATTTACCTATCTCATCTACCTATCTACCTATCTACCTATCTACCTATCTACCTATCTACCTATCTAGTTATCTACCTATCTACCTATCTACCTATCTAGTTATCTACCTATCTACCTATCTACCTATCTAGTTATCTACCTATTTATCTACCTATCTATCTATATTTATTATTTATGCTTATCTATCTATCCATATCTCTATCTATCTATCTATCCATCCATCCATCCATCCATCCATCCATCTACCGACCTATCTATCTATCTATCAATCTAGATTCCGTCTGCTCTCGCGTTGAAATTGTTGGGTTACTGCGTTTTGGCGGAATCCACAGCAATCAGATAGTTGGAACATGTTGAAACCAGGATTTTCCATTGTTTGTGGGACTGAAGCGGTTCATCTGCATCAGTTTCCACTAAACCTTCCTCAGCAGGTCTATTACCGAGCCCAGCGGCGATAAACGGATGCTTCAAAGCATCTTCTGCCGTCATCCTGGCTGTGGCTGGGTTGAGACCGGTCTCACATCGTCCCAGGCCGCACTGGTGTTTTGCTTGTAGAAAGACCAACTGTAAAAAATGGATGCATAGAAATCATAGAATGTTCCATCTCTGAGTTTGTTTGACGTCTTTTTGTATGATCCGAGCAGCTACAACCAGTCATCACCACCACAACCCCTGCAACCACCACAATTGGCCTACAGGCATTGACTAAGTCACTATGTCTTTTCAAAGTTCGGGGATCATCTTGATGGGAGTCTCTGGATCCAGCCACTCTCAAATTTTGATCTGAAACATGGGTCCATTGTCCACCGTTCTAGTTTCTAGTCCTGCGCATGGTGTGGAACTTGGGGGCCTGATGATTTTCCATATCATGGACTAATCTTAAACACCAGCTAGTTTTTCTTTAGATGTAATGTGGTACACCCATGTAAACCCAACAATAAACATCAATAAACCATCCCAAGTCATCACCATAAATGGCTGCTTTAAACCATCCCCAAGTGGTAGGTTTCTTATTGGGGTTCCCACAACATTATTCCAACTGTCCATTCTTCATCTATTATTGTCAGTTTATCCACCCATTATTATTTAATCATTATCAACCATTATCAACCATTATATATAGAGTTATATACATATCCATTAAACGTTATTTACAGTCCTGAATGTTCCCACCAAAAGATTTTTGTTGGACTACACCAAGGACCCCTGCCTTGACGTGGGCTTTACCACCAGCAGTTTCTTCACGAAATCTTGGGCGACGCCCGACACCTTTGTCATAAGCATCATAGCTACCATAGATTGGAAGATATTGGAAGCATCCAACTATCATAATTCATCACAACTTATAACATCATGAATATATATGAATATCATGAATCATAATTACGCAAGAAGGACACCTATATTGGATATATATATATATAAATATATATTGGATATATTCATTCAGATGCATAATTTTTAGGGGATTAGCATCGATGCATCAAACTTAGCTCAGCATTGAGGCTCGTGCACTGTCCCATTTGGCAGGTTTCACAGTGTACCTCAGGTGCTCCGGCAGTCGTGCTGTGGCGAACACGAAATAAGAGGTTGGGACGCCAAGAGCGGGTCAAATGGGTGTATATCTAGCATAAATAAGTTGCAACATGTTGTAACATTTACAACTATACAGTACTTAGATGGCTTGGTGTATACACCAACTTATCACTCTTGGGGGGGGCCACATTGTAGGGTTACGTAAATCATGCTAGATCTGGAATCAACAACCAGTTTTGTAAATCCTTACTAGTGTGGAAGTTCATCCCATGCTATCCCACATACCATGCCCTTGCGCAGCGCATTTCTCTTTTCACTGTCACTATCTCCATGAGAGTCGGATACTTATGAAAAGTAATGGTTCTTGAGCATCAATTGATATCAATTGCAGTCAAGAAGTTCAGGAATGCTAAACCATTTGAGATCATAAATGACCCAAATCTATCCCGATTTTTCTTGGTGAAGTCCCTGTTTATTGTTGAAAACTTTTGTTGACCCCAAGCACTGGGACTCCCAACCGGCCGTTCTTGATGTCGGAGATTTGCTTGTCCTTCAGTCAAAATAGGCAGGACATGAAGATGACATCCCTCATACCCTGTACTATGAGTTTACTTTTGGATGCTTTTCCTGTGAAAACTGCCAAGTGCCCACTTGGGTGTTCTATCAGTTGTCCTGGCGGATGGTCAAATACATATAGTACCAAAAACCAGGCCCCATATTACTGCAGCCGCCAACTTCGGGGTCGAAACCAGAGATGGAGGTCGCTGAGATCCTCGTTTCCAGAGAAAGGCATGTAGCCAAAGAGAAGGATGAAGACTGTCACACCTCGGACGACCACATCTGGCTATGGCGACCCAATGGAGAATGGACGGACCCACTTAAGTTTCAGGTCATGGTAGTATTTAGCCAAGTTAAATTTAAACATGTTTTGACATCGTGTTACATAATTTGATGTATTTTGGCAATATCTAAACATTTTGTTGCCGGAATTTAATTTTCTGCCATTCCCATCTGGGTGGGATGTCACACTTCACCCTGGGCCCCTTGACTCTGAGGCGACGGGGACTGACAGAGGCGAGTTCCCCGCTCCGGAATCTCCATGAACAGTCCATTTTGGGCTAGATCTGATCAGCAAAGCACGATGAAACTTCAATCTGGCCTAATCTTCTCATGAGTTCAGATATGGCAGTGTGTCAAAACCTTGTACCCCTGGTGAACATCAAAATAGCTGGTAAATGGATGTTCATCCCCCTAAAAATGGTATTAATAGGTATTGATCCATACCCATATTTTCACCAATTCTCAAAGTCTTTTGGGGATCGTTCTTCCTCGAAGAATTCAGCCATATGCCATGAAATGCTGGGCCCCCGCTCCGAGGCTCCACAGGTCGCACTGAGAGGTATAGTTCTGATCCAGCACCTTCCAACACGTCAGGTGACGCGTTCCGAAACGTCATCAGGTGATGGGCCCCAGTGAGAAGTTGCTCCATAGAATGTATCACTATAATTACATATATACTAAACCCTAAACCTCAGTTTTCCTGTTTTTTTTATCCGGCTTGTAACTGGGTGGCTTGCAGACCCATATCTTGGTCAGATCCTCTTCATAGTTCCATGATCTTAAATCTGGGTAAATTATATATTTCACTCACCTGAATACTTCGGCCATAAAAGGGGATGATTTCCCGAATCCTAACCATGAATTTACCCAGTTAAATGCCCCTTCTTTAAAGGTCAAAATTCACCAGCAGTTTTTCGCACCTCTGGAGCCACGTAGGCCAATGTACCGCAGCTGAGTCTCATGGTGGTGTTCGGCTTCCAAATCTTGCTGAAACCTACGGGGTTTTTCCGCCGCGGCACAGCTGCTGCTGGAGTGGCGTCACTTGGAAAAGTCGTAGAATCTCTGGGATTTTGTCTGGATTAATCTATGATTAATTGATCAATGGGGGGCTGGAATTGCCAACCTTGCTGGCGAAAGGGAGCACTTGAGTCGAAAATCCAAGATGAAAATGATGAAACTGCCCGTCTGACTATACTGGTATTTCGGTGAAAGAGTGAGAACGCTGCGCTATGCTGAGCGCATATGCCATAAGGGCAGCCCATGGCAACCCTAGTTCACCCCTGCAGGGTCTTCCGGCCGAAATCGATGAGCTTCAAAAAGTCACTCTCCGGCTTTTCGAAGAGAAAGTTTTCCAACCTAGGACGACACGAGGACATGATTCAGCATACTCTGTCTGAAGTGACCTTCCCAAATATTCCATTCAGCATTGGCAAAACATACCGGGACCCTCCAAAAGCTCAAGTGTGGGTTACATTATATCTATTTCTTTATATTACTCTAAAACTCTGAAAGAATACATAACTTAACTTAACATATTATCATATATTATGATATATTGTTCATATTTTGCAGAGACGTGCAAAACATCGCCCCGGCCCCCCGTTCCAAACAGCGGCTTCCGGGACTTCACTTAGGACCGCGCTTGATATCTCGGTGGACCACACCGATACCTTTCGGTGGCGTCAAGATCCATCTGGTGAAATGTAGTTTGGTATACCATCTATCACCCATAGGATCCATGTATATATGGTGTATATGATATATATGGTAACATGGATCCCATCAATATATCCCCTTTATGTTAGCATATATACCATACATGGATCCTATGGGTCATCATTTACCTGTTGTTAAAATTTGTTAAAGGGGTAAACTAACCCCTCTATTTTCATCAACCAACCAGTGGGAATTTGGGACATCTATGGGCGCCGAGTGGCCATGGATGTAATTCACCGCCAGAAGCATCTGTCGAGCCTCAGCGCCAAAAGGGAGCTGGATTGTGGTGGATTCACCGTATTTCTGAAATGGCCCCAAATAAGGTGGCAAGAATGACAAAAGGAACATGCCACTGGTATTCTCTGCTGTCACCTTTCTTGAGTATATTGAACAAACTCTGCAAGGCAGTTTTCAGCCCATGAAGCACCTTGTTCCATTCCAACAGTTGAAAACTATATCTAGATAGCGCCGGAACCACAAGACTGGTCATCCTGGTGGTTCTTGTGCAAATAGAGGAGTGCAAGAATCAGAAAATAATTTGTTGAAAGTCATTGATGGACATTTGTAATTCTTCTGGCAAATCCAGTATTTTGCTCAATGCATGGTATAAATATCTAGAAATTTACCCAAGAATGAACCGAGCGCAGGAAAAGCATCACAAACAAAGACAACTTCTCTGCTTCCCAAAGGGCTGCGTCTGCGGCGGCTTGTTCTGTGAAACGTTTCAGCCTAGGCAACGAGCGCCAGGATTTTCCCCTTAACCCTGCCATGGTTGTTGCAACGGGGGATCAACCCTTGGTGAATCACTGGATCTTGGGGGTTTCCCAATGTTCAAACAAACCCAACATGGACCATCTGGCATAATCTTTGGGGTCCAGTGATCCACCAATTAAAATTTCATATATCTAAAAAAAATCTGACCATCGCAGTGGTTTACACAAATTGTTTGTACAACTTTGTGTTTGGAGGTTGTCAAGATTTGACTTTAATACCAACCTTCAACCCAGTGGAAAATCCAGAATTCAAATCCGTTTCTAGATATATTTCGCTAGATCCATGTTCGACCCAAAAGCAGGGATTTGATTTTTCAGTCTTCAGTGTCTATTAAATGCTATTCTGTTTTCCACAAGAAATTCGCTGGTTTTCTCCCTTTGATATCCATTGATATCCCAAGGAATACCATCCGTTGACAAGTTGATCAACAGGATATTCACATGATATCCATGTTTGACGCGCCATTATATATATATGTACATGATATCATCGTTGGGATAGCCCGTATAAAACATGTGGTTATGAAGTTATGGGTCAAAAACCAGGTATCTGCAGTATCCCAAAAAATCTTAAAAAAATCTTGGCTCATGGATGTTAACATATACTACATATTTTAACATATGTTAACTCATATTTTAACCAAAGCTCATGGATGTTACCCTCTGGTAAACTAACATAACTATGGAACATCACCATTTTTCATGGGTAAATCCACTATAAATGGCCATTTTCAATAGCTATGTAACAAATTACCAGAGGGTACTCCCAGTCATATGGCAGTGTGTCTAAACCTTGTACCCCTGTAGTTCACATCAAAATAGCTGGGATTCATGGATGTTCATCCCACTAAAAATGGTATTTTCATAGGTATTGATCCATACCCATATGGGTATGGGTCAAAATTAGGTACCCCAATAATTGGATGGTTAATACTAAACTAGACTAACATCTGTGGTCCCCTAGGTCTTCCATTTTGACCCACATCCATATGATAAAAATCACAGGTTTTGACCCATCCGCTCCAATCCCCCCAAGGTTCACCGGGGCCACCGAACTTCTGTACCCGGCCGAAGAGCTCGCCGCCGGACCTGGTGCGCTGCAAGGAACGTGGTGACGGACTTGGTCAACATATCAACATGGGTTTAGTACCACCTAACTATATATATATATATATAAAGTAATATTATACATATATAATATATAATATCATATAATATATATAGAATATCACAATATATATATATAGAATATCACAATATATATATAAGTATAAATCTATGTATATTATATATATATACATGGTTGGACAGTATCTATATCTATATTTATCAGCATCTGGGTATCAATATCTGTATCGTCTGTATGTATAATCTCTCTATATAATTATCTAATTATGTATCTGTCATGTCTGGAATATATAAGCATACACATTATCCTCATCCTCTTCCTCATCCTCATCCTCCTCCTCATCATCATCATCATCATCATAATTTCTAATTACACATACATGTACCAAATGTGAAGTATCAACATATTTATTGTAAGCATATGAGTTTATCATACATCTGCACCAATGTCTCATCATCTGCCACGTGCAGGCCATCAGAGAGGAAAACATGCAGGCCATCACATGCACTCCATCACCAGTGCAAGTTGCTCCTGCAGACGTAGCTGGTCGATGGTTCATCCCATCCCTAAAAAACCCATCAATTGAAATATCAATTGCATTCAATTGCAACCAACGAACCAACTCTGATTGAAGTTTAATTACCATACTAAAATATACTCAAGCACCTGCGTTTCAATCTAGAATTAAGTATCTGAAACTTCACATAAGTTGAATCCTAAAATGACTCATTTGCAGTTTGGCATGGAAGTTTTGAGCCATTTCAAGCCACGATGTCATTTCCCAAAGGGGCCAACTATAACATCTTCAATGACTGAAGATTAACCATTCCAACTGTGTCCCTTTCAACCTGATACCAAGAAACCAACATTTCAAATCTCTGGTTTTTACTCAGTTCAGGCATTCAGTAAAGACATCAGTGATCTATGTTTTCCTGAACCATGTCAATGAAGTTACAGAGACCCCCTGTTACAGGCGACCGCTTTTCGGGGGTCTTCTCAATGGGTGTCGTGTCTTTGGAGTTCCGAAAAAGAACATCCGGCAACCATCTATTCAATATCAGTAGAATGTCAACCCTCAACTAACAGACATTGGTTGCTTTATTTTCAGGGGATTCTCTCCAATATTGAACCCATCTGCGAGTCATAATGTCAACCCTGGACAAAGCCTGGTTGCTTTTTCGGGGATTCCCTCCAAGATCTGCCAGTCATCCGCTACAAAACTGATAAAACTGGTCCCCCTGTTGGAACAGCCCGTTCCCCGTTCGCGCGCTCCGGCGACTCATAAACATCCACCAATCTGGCCACCTTGGCAAAACGAGCACGGTTTACACCCAAAAGGGGAACTTGCCCATTCTTGGCTGGATTATATGATCTGTTATGCATGTAAAATGACTATGCGTGCATATGTGTATCATATATATATAATGTCATAAAATATAGATACGCATGATACGTTTACCATGGTTCTTGACAAACGACTGACTCGGGTGCACATTCAAGTCTATGAACCAATGGGCACTTTAGCTGGGACCAACTGTTTGGCGCTCTCTGATAGAGATGTCTGTCCAAAATCTATCATGCCATCTGCCATCAACATCCCCAAGAAAGATACCACCCCTCGAAGTACAACCTTGGCGACTATCTATCATAATGAAGATTTATCGATAGGGATGTCCAAAATTTCAAGAAATCTATCATAATCGCCAAAATTGAAGAATATTGAAGAACTTGAAATTTTGGCGACGGCTTGCTTGATTACTCCTTTGGTGTCTCAAGCAGCACCTGATTTGGGCATGTATCTCAAAGAATCATGAGCGACAGTCACTGGCGGAATAGCACACACGTGTGTATGTATTTGCATATCATACATTTCTACACAAAAATCACTTGGAATCATAAAATACCTCCTTTCTCTCCCAAACAGCATCAAACAGTCTCCGAGCTTTCTCACATGCGGATGATCCATGGCCTCGGGTTTCACCAGCGATCCATGGCCAGCCATCGCTGGGCCCCTTTTCCAACACTCCAATCACAGAGGTGTGGAAAAAATGCGTATCAGGATCAAATGGCGTATATATCGTATATTCAGGAAACTGTCAGAAAATGCTGTGAGCAAAACTATCATTATGATTATCACCACCGTCATCGTCATCATCAGCATCATCGGCGGATAAGGTCTACCCAGATTCCCTCGAGGAAAACCATTAATAAACTATCCCAGTTGGCGCCTACTATCTAGTATACCCCTACTTGGGATTATGTAAAACGACCCCAAAATGGCCGGCTACCGAGATGATTTGTTGATACTTACTAGTTGCCATCCTAATATTTCTCATTAGTTTATCAACATGTTCATGACCATGGTCATTAGTTTTGTCATTCAAAAATATGGGAGTTTCTTAAAATGGGGGATCTCCAGACCTAGGATGATTTGGGGTGTACCCCCATGACCCTTGAAAACCTCCATAAATCACCATAAATAGGTTGTATAAACTATTCCCGAATTGTTGGTTTATTCTTGTTTTACCCCAGATATCTGTGGTTCTTGGTTTAACCCCAGATATCAACGGGCCCTCCCGGACGCCGTGTGACCTTTCCACCCTGAGCAGCTGACGAGAAAGATTTCGCACTCAGCCTCAAGCTCCTCCTGGGAGCTGCGTGATGGTTTTTTAGAGGGCAGAAACACCTAGTGACCTGGGCAACTTGAAGAAGGAGAATTGGACTTTGAACAGTAGCAGTATCCCATGGACAAATCGAGGACAACGGCATGTCGAAGCAGACTTCAAGCTGGTTTTCAAAGAATCCGCTGGCTTTGGTATGCCCAAACATGTTGGACCCCAAGAATAACAAAGAATAACTTAATAACCCTCATTCCTTGTGGCCTGTCTTAAGGAGGCATCCTTCAAGATTGAAGCTCCATCCCCCGACAAGCCCGCAGCGTCTCCCGCTTTTCCCGTGGCACACCAACCAACTTGAAGCCTTTTACAGCGTACCTGGTTTCGCTAGAGATCTCTGGTTCACAACCCACAGGTTCCTCTCTGGGTGAGTAGGAAAACTATCTGCAAATGGATGTAAATGGAGATTTCATGAGATTTCCTTTTGCCTTGACTACTGGAGTGCATTGGTTACACAAATGGTTTGGTCATCAAATTTGATCATTTGCCAAGTACGTTGTCGAGGTAGCCTAGAGTTTGACTGATGCTAAAGTGGGTGATAGCCAGGTCGGACATGTGCTCTAAGGAGGTGAATCAAACCAATTACCGCTGAAGTTATGCAATCACCAACACCACTCGAATCTACATTCACTAAGTGCCTTGAATTGCATGAGTGCATCCACTATGAAGTCGTGTTGTGCTTGATGTTTTCAACGTATTTCAAAAATATTTGAGGCAGCTTCATCAGCGCAAATGGGATGGAGCAGCATAGAACATGAAACACATACTTGAAAGCGACAGCAAATCTTGTAAGTACTACCCATTTCTCGTCGTTCTTCCCCATACGTCTTCGCGATTATCCTATGGTTATTGATTTTAGTGTCACCCATCACCCATCCTGTCCGTGGTTAACTCATACAGTAACAATATTCGCAAGTCTGGAGTGATCTGTGGGATGAATTGCCCTAGGTCCTTGTAGAGCCCTTATGGTTTTGTCCGGCTTACATAATGTATAGATCTTGTATTAACGGTCGCCCCTCCACAATGCGACCCCAAACTGAATACATTCGCTACTGAACGTTTCTAGGGGGTGTTCACCCATTGTTTCTGATGAATGCTAAATTTTGTTAGGCTTTCTATAGTCCCTATTTCTATCCGGTAAAACTCACCATTGTTGCATATCAGTAAATACACATATATGTATATAAACGTAACAGTAGCACTAATGGCAATAATGAACAAATAGAACAAACCATAATTATATATATTATGTTCAGCACTGGATTACATAGAATAATCGATGTTCAATCAAAAAACAATCTCAATTGTGTCTTTGTTTCAATCAAAATCAATTATATCCAACAACAATTAGTATCAGTGTCTCTTGAACTTCATCAATGGTTACCATTATGATTAACATCACTCTCCTGCATTAGAGTTATTGTAAATCCTTATTCATATGTGGGATCAAAAGAAACTACATGTATATCTATTGATCATAATCAGTGGTTGCTATATTGTAAACATAAATAGACACAGAATGGTATAAATAACATTAAAAAACGTTCAGTTCCTACTTATCCTTTAATATCTATTGATGTTACATCTCATTGCCAATCTTTAGATATCCTCAAACAAAACTATTGGATGATCTTGGCTTAGCATAGTAGATTTAGGATCTATATACTACATATATATATATATGATATATGTATTCCTATTTATAGCAACATATATTCCTATGGATTTAACTACCCATCCGGTTGATCCCTTTGAGCGCCCCTTGATGCGCGTTGAGCTTCCCCACGTGCCGCCCCCAGTTCTGCCACGAGCTTCAAAGACCTGGAGGATTTTGTCGACCCTTTAGGGAAACCATCAACAAGACATTGATATGGGATTGATATGGGATTTATATGGAGGTTTCCATCAATGGGGATACGCCAATAGATATATAGATGCCAATAGCTGGATGGTTCATTTGCTGGAAAATCCCAATCTAAGATAGATGACTTGGGGGTACCCCTATTTCAGGAAACCTCTATATGGGACTGAAATGGGATTTATATATGGATCTTACTTGGAACCAAACATGGCTGGAAATCCCCGAATTCAATGGGCATTTGAATGAGAAAATCATGGAACTAGCAGAAGGTAACGTGCTGGAACCCCAGGTTTAGGGGGAGTAATGACCAACAAACATCATAGAATCATATACATATACTTCCTAATGATATATTTTTTTGTCTAATGATATGTATATTAAAAACATATATATGTATCCATTTGGCCGTTTTGACGAGGAATATGATGATTGACCGATGGTATGCTGGACCAGATCCGACCAGTTTGGGAAACTGACACCATCAAGTTTGCAGCATCGCCACAGAAAAATGCCTGGTGGTTTCAATCAATCCTCCAGAAAAAAATGCTACGATTTATTGGTGATCGTTCAGTTTTCTTCCGGAAAACAACATGTCAAGGGCGTGGCTCTTTCAGAAACGTTTTGACTCACAAATGAAAGCTTCAGAGCTGATGATTGTTTGTGCCTCATGCGGCATCTCAAGGCACCCTCTCAGTACAGGGGGAGCCAGCATTTGAAGCGGGCCTTCCCATTGTAGCCAGAACCTAAGATGTTCTTCTTGAGGATGATATAGTCATCCTGGCATCAAGGACTCGTCAGAAGTCTGGATGCCGAGTCAATTGGCTAACCTTCCCACCTCAAGTTTTCGCGGCATTCGATGATACCGACCACCTCAGTTTCATATGTTTGATGTTGGATTGTTGGTGGCAACAGGTGGCAACTGCGTGGTAAACCCAATGCCATAAACCCAATGTTTGGGGCATGGGTCGATAATATATCACCTAGTGGAAAAATTGGATGAAGTTGCAGATTGTTTATTCATGTTTATTCCACTGTTTACCAGACTACCAAGAAATCATGGCATTCAGCCCCAACCCACGATTGCTTGGCATGTCAACTGGCTCCACTAGGTGCCCAGGTGCCCCGGCTGATGGTAAACTTTCCCGCGCGGCTCTCAGCTCTCTTCACCACATCTCGGCCGAGGAAGCAGGATAGTGTGTAATCCGCCCCAGTTCATTGCAAATGAATCCCATCCACCAAGATTTACTCAGCCTTCAACCATTCCGCTTCGGGATGAAAAAATCTTCAAGGTTTGGGCATTTCCCCCGAAAAATGGAAAGTAGGATTGTAGAATATCATCAGGTTTAGCACATTGGATCCTCTATACTCTTGAAACTACCAAGCAATGCAGACAATGCAAGTTCCGATCGGGACAAAATCATCTAACTTTCAACGCGTTAGATGTTAGAATGTAAGCCGTTTGTTTTGTTTGTATTCCAACGTTTGTGAATAAAAATTTAAATCCGACTTCTTTCAAATCTTCAACCCGATTCTTTGTGGTAAAACCACCCATAAACATGGAACTTATATGCCAAATCAAGTGGTTTACCATCATCTTCCTATTTACAGTAACTCCCCAAGTTTGGATGGTACACATCATCCCGAAATGATCGGTTTATGGCATTGGGTTTCACAGTAGCTATGTTATTGGGTTTACCTAAATCCACTGGTTTATTTTGTTTATCATCTTTCCATGAAATTATATGTATGTGTTATGATCATCGTCCCATATCTTCCCGTTGAATTATAATATATATATATATTATGTAGATTTATCATCGTTCCATAAAAAAAAAAAACTACAATCCCATCTAAAAATCTCGAAAATGGGGTTTGCAGTACCAATTCTTGTAAGCACCATTTTTATCATTATCTTCCCTGCAAGAAATGCCACTTTTGGGGTTGTTTGCCACATTTTCAACCAACAAACCACATAGAGGTTTCCTAATTCATGGGGGCACCCCCAGTTCTCATCCATTTTCATAGGATTGTCCATCACCAAAACCATACCCATCTATTGGGCTACCCATGACTATGGAAAACACCATATTAGTATATAGATATATATATAGATAGTATTATCCCATTATATCCTATTAACTTTCCATTTATAGTAATTAACCATTATCAATCAACCACATTATGGCTATATTATATTAACTATATATTCTCCATATATTAACTATATATTCACCATATTAACACATATACCATACCTTTATCCATATATAATTGATATTACGCATCCAATTTATAGGATGATTTTCCATTATGAACCATATTAACAATAATATTAATTAACATATACAATGTTTCTCTTTGTTTATCCATATAATGGTTATTCATTCTATCCCATGTCGCTCGATGTCTTTTTTTCCCATCGGCCACACCCTGGGCCCCAACTATCAAGGCCATGCTCAGAGCCAGCTGCCACCCTGGCGAAGGTCGAGGACTGGTATTTTTTTTTTCCCGGGCCCGTTTGAAACTAGCGATTCAAACCAAAAAAATGGTGGTTGAACAAAACTGGACATATTTAAAAGCACTGAATATTGGGATATCAACATGGGTGAACACAACAGAGAAATTGGGTGACAATATTCATCAAATTTCTCTTGAAACACGATAAAACTTGTAAGACACTTTCCGTTCTTGTAGCCAAAACCACTACATACAATGCATGGAAGTGAAGAAGTGCCTTCTACTCAAGCATACTGAAGGGACAGCTGATCATCATGGAACAAACCCTGACAACAGCCTATCTCCCAGCAGATTGAGAAACCACTGAGTTCCATTTCGTCAGGTCGAGCTGAGGTCCAAACCCCATTGTCTTTGCAATGTGCTGGACCTTTGCTGTGCATCCCGGGGACAACGGCAAGGCATCAAGGGACAACGAAATTTTGTCTTTGTGTTCCCCGAAGTAGTGAAACTCACACTCTTTACCAATTCATAAATTGCACTGGTACATTTGTTGCCGTGTTTGGATTTAGGCAACAGATAGTTTCAAACACGTCCTATCAATGTGTCGATACCAATTCGTGATTTCAGCACGTTTGAAACGCTCCCTCCGGAGCTGTTGCCCTAAGGCCCAGGCAAGGTGACTGCCAAGAACTCGAGGAGGATTGTCCCAGGTTTTGAATTGAAATTGTTGCTGGATCGCAATTTTAATGCTGAATCGTGTTTCAACATGTGGAAGATGCTGCTATTGCATGTATGCTGCCTGAATATCTTTCGCTTGAACATACTTGAGATCGTGTCGAGAGTGGGCCTCAAAGTCGAAAACCAAAAAACGTCAAAACCAAACAAACTGTAGTTGGCAAAATCTCAATCTCAGAGTTTTTTTTCAGCGGCTGTAGGATCAGGACTATGTTGCAGACTGCATCATGAATAACTAGTTCTGATCATTAAGTCCAAACCGGCTAGAGCCTGCACACAAACAGGTAGCACAGCAGCGGCATGAGCAGCATGCAGCGTTCTTCAAGCAATGAGGTTCGAATGGTTTGACAGCTACCGTCAAATTGAATTTGATATTCTGGGGCAAAAACATGTCACAATCAGAGTCGAACCACAGCCATCCCATCTGACCACAGTGTGCACCTCCCGTTGGCATCGGCCTAGACGGGCATCCGCAGGAGAAATGGCCGTCGTTTCGGGGGTCCTTTAAAGGGTACTGATCCACAGCCAAAGTTCATCGAAAAAGTATCAATCAGTTGAGAGTGGATCAACTGCACACAGCAGCTCGGAACAATTTGTTTTGACTCCACAGTTTCCCCCCGCAACTGTGTCTATTGGAATTAACAAGTCGAACTAGGCCCCCAAAGTGGAAGGCCAGTGTTCAGACTCAGGAGTCTCATGAACATGGCGATGAATATGACACTCGGGCCGGCTGGCATCAAATGCATCAAACAATTTGTTCACGTAGGCCAAAACGGAATGGTTCTCAAAACACTCTGGCGTCAACTGGAAATCCTTCCAAGAATCAGGTTCCTTCTTGGAACTCAGTATTCGTAGAGGTACGAAATGCTCGTATTTCTTGGCAAGATCCTCAGTGACATTGAAATCGGGCCTCTTCAAGAACTTGGTTGCCATTTCTTCCACAACTTTCGGTGACGAAGAACCCTTGATGCTGCCATGTGGATCCATCAATCCTTTGTTCACTGCCACGGTTGCTTTCTCGACAAAATCTCGCAAATTCAAAGCACCCCAAGCCCTCGGGCATGTATCATCAGCATGGATGTAGTTGACAGCACGTTCCTTCGCAAAGTCCTTGAACTGGCTGGCTTCCTTGGAGCTGCCCCCAAAAACCATGGGAGCGCCGAAGGTGATACATTGTATATCAAACGAAGATAGATAATGATAGATACGTCTGGGTGTATTTGCTTGAAGCGTTCTCCACCACATCTCCAAGCACAGCTGCGCATACACACCGCCTACTGAGTGTCCTGCAAAAACAATTCTCTTCACACCGTTTTCCCTGAGGAATCGAAATCTTGCCGGGCTAAGGCACTCGATCCAAAGTCTGATGCATGCCATGGCATATGTTGCTCCCCTACTGGCAAAAAAGTCATCCGAAACATAGACAGGTTCCAAGTTCCAGTTCTCAAAATCCAGCAAGCCCGAGGTTCTCCTGAACACAATGAAAAACACCTTCCCCACAGGCAAATCTGCAATGACACCTCGCAGTCTCACAGGTCTTCCCACCTGTGTCGGCTCACCCCAAGCATGAACCTCAAACAAGGCATGCTCCAACGTCGGAGGTTCTGGGTCATCAGTGTAGATCCAAAAACTCAATAAGGCTGCCACCAGATCTACAAACTGCGGGGTGGTGTGGACATCACTCGTCGGCAAACCGAGCCTCAACGACCTCGAACACAACAGCCGAATCTTCGCGGCATCGCAAGGGACTGCCACCACATGGCCGTGCACTGAGCACCTGGGCAAAAAATCAAAGTCTCTCTGCTCTGCCGGATTGCCTGATGGCAGAAATCTGGTGAAAGCTCGCCGAGACGAAGGATCGACGACCAGAGTCTGCTTTCGATCATTGCAAGGCCCTGCCACCACCTGGCCATTCAACACGCAACTGGAACGAAATCTCTGCCATCCACCTGCACTGATGGCGAACGCCTGGCGAGATGTGGGATCCACCACCAACACCCGCTCAGCCGAGTAGGGCACTGCTACCACCTGGCCGTTCACTGAGCAACTCGACTTGAATTTGTCAAGCCGCTCTTCATCGATGTCTAGTGGCAGCTCAATGGTGAAAGCTTCACTAGATGCAGGATCTACCACAAGAATCTCTTCAGCATCATTGGGGACAGCCACAACTTGTCCATTCACCACAGCACTGGTTCGAAATTTTGCTCTGCCCTTTGCGAAGACTGCTGGTGGTAAGGCTATGGCAAAGGCTTGACGAGATAGGGGATCAACCACCAAAATTTTCTCAGCATCAAAAGGCACTGCTACCACCTGGCCATTCACCACGCAACTGCATGCAAACTTGCCACGGTCACGTCTGTCTGCTTTGATGCCTGATGGCAGGTCGATGGTGAAGGCCTCACGAGACTGAGGATCAACCACCAAAATTTTCTTAGCTTTGAAAGGCACTGCCACAACTTGGCCATTCACTGAGCAACTAGATAGAAATTTGTCAGCTGTTTGTGCATTGATGCCTGATGGCAGCTCGATAGCGAAAGCATGGGGAGATGCGGGATCCACCACCAGAATCTTCTTGGCATTGCAGGGCACTGCGACCACATGGCCATTCGCCGAGCAACGGGAAGCAAATTTATCATCTCTGCCTGCCCATATATCTGATGGCAAGTCAATGGTGAAAGCCTGCCCAAAATCCCTTTTTCGAGACTCTTTCGTGGTGAAACCTTGCCAATAGTCTCTTTTTCGAGACTTTTTCATGGCTTCTGGCTTTGCCCACTGCTATTTTCCTCAAAGCCAGATCACTGGACGGTCACCCAAGAGACCAAATCTGTCAGTCAACAAGCGAGCTGTGAATTTCTTGTTTAATGACATTTAGTCCCTTTGCGTTCCTACCAGATAGGACCAGTGCTTTTGGGATCCCAGCAATAGGGCACTCAGTTTTCCATATGCGTATGCCTCAAAATCAGAAGATGCCTCACACCAGGATAGAGTCGTACTAACCTATTTGAAACCAACTATGAAAGTTATTTGGGACCGCAAGCTAAATTCAATCCTTCTTCACTCTTGGGGACATGTGAGAATGGAATGGCCCTCAGTTGCATGTACCAAGAGGTGCAATTTGCAATTCAACAGCCAGAATCTGCCAAAGTGATAATCCGTGCAACTCACTCAGATTCACGTTATATGTTCGGATTACAACGTTCCAACTGGCCAAAAGACATTTGTATGGGGTTCTCTGAAAATATGGTACCTCTGATGGTCAATCACCATTTTACCTATAAACGTGTCCATATGGGGGATTCATTGATCATGATACGAATTTTCAAAAACACCATGACCCACCATAACCCATGCTTTTGGGATTCCAGAATCATTGATGGCAAATGCCAGCAAGATCTGTAACAATAATACTTGAATAGAATCACAATGTCAGTTATGAGTTTCTACCACCCCAAACGAACTCCGACTGATGGGGAAACAAAATGAAGAATGGCTATCAAATTTGTGGGGTCAAATCAGCCGGCTCCCGGGTGGGGCAATTAGTTTTCCACATGCGGTATGTCTCAAAATCAGAAGGTGCCTCGCACCAGGATAGAGTCCTACTAAATGCGTTTGAAAATAAACATCAGCAACGAACATATACAATCATTACAATCCAAACAGCGGTTAGCAGTTGCCTTGCCTTTAAAGGCTTGGCCGCCAAACCGCAGGATCGCTGTCAAAGGATGAACAGCGGACTGCCTTGTTTCCAGGTGCTGCAATTGGTGTCAAGGTTTACTTTCCTAGAAGTTTCGTAAGGCTACTGGGAAAAGAAATTGCTCCGTTTCAATTATTTTTCATGACACATCCTGCTCTTATTTGACTGGTCAAAACATACATAAGCACTTGCAACTGTTGCGAGATCTGAATGGTGGATCATTCTTGGGCACACATCCAACAATCTCGTGCTTTCTTTTGACCTGTTCCTGGCGCGACGTGAATGGAGTTTTCCAATCTGTCCACATACAGTATGCACATTGGTAATCATTGGATATGTGATTTGTATATATATGTATATATACATATGTGTAACAATCATATGTGTATGTAATATATGGCATATTACGGCACATGTATATAATTAATCATTGTGGATGAATGATTGGTTCGTGAGAAATCCGTTTTTTGTTTGCAACACGAGTGTGCAAGTGTAATGTCATGAAATATCATTCGTCTGCTTGGAAGATAATGATCTAATCAAACAAACAACAAAAAAATCACCGGCTGCATCCGATCAGAATGTGACTTTTTACACTTCAACATTCTTATACATCGGCAAATTCACTGGCAAACCTTCAAAGTATCAACCCACGGGACTTCTTACTTGAACAACGGTGGTCCAAACAAACAAATACTCATATTGAATGAAGACCTATAAGATCCTAATAAGCCTTAAATCAATTATGGTCGATATTTCCAGGATGCATCAGCATGAAGTGCCTCTTTCATAAAGGCTGGTCATAAGTTGAACAAATTGCAAATACAGTAAATACAGTATGTAAACCGCAAACCCATTCCACCTTATCTTAGCATAAAGTTCTTGTACCACAAATTCCCCTGGCTTTGAGCTGAGTTTCCAGAGAAACTGGCCTGAGAATCCAGCTCTTATGATGGATAACTGAAGCTGTTGAGCTATGCATCCAACCTACTGGCTGTTGCGGACAGCAAATGCAACGACTGTCCCATCACACAACAGCTTGGACGGTGGGGTAATGTCAGTCATGTCCAACGATGTTGTCTTTTACATTGTAATATTCACCAGAGACGGGATGACCATGTACAAGGGTAGCGTCTGCAGTTGGAGTCCTTCTCACAAGTTGGACCAAGTTCAAGTTATGTTGCCAATATTCCACAATATAATGTTCACATTCAAACTTCGCAGACGTGTCCGAAACAAAACGGATCTAGATCTTTGTTGGGCGGTAATCTTTAGGCTTAAATAAGTGTCTTTTAATTTCTGGAACATGTCTCCACGGAAATGGGCGTGCGTTCTTTCAGCTAAACGCGTTCTTTTAAGGGATACAATTTGCAGATCCAACTGCCGATAACCAGAATCCGCCAAAGTCCAATTCATCTGATCACTGCACCTTGGACGCCCCCGTCAAGGTGGATTTCCTCAGCATGGCGTAATTGGATGCTGCTTGGGGATCATTCGATGGAAATCGCATGACATACAATGTCTTAAAACTGGTTGGTGGTTGACCTACCCCTCTGAAAAATATGAGTTCGTCAGTTGGGATGATGAAATTCCCAATATATGGAAAGATAAAAAATGTTCCAAACCACCAACCAGAAAATTATATAGTTTTTCTGCATGGGGATTCTTGATATATTGCATATTGCATGGGGATTAATATATTTTTGGAAAACTGTCATGGGTTAAAATTTAAGACCAAATGAACATTAGCGAAGCACGAATTTGTTTTGTTTACCATGCAATTTATGCATGACTTCACCCATTCCCATTTCTGAAGTCCATGACTAGTCCCCAAGCGAGCAAAAAAAACACCCCTTCCCAACCAACTAAGCAATTTTCCGAAAGTAGTGCTTTCATGTGCTTTCCCTATCCCAAAGTTGGATAAAGCTTTGGGTTTTCAGGAGTTTTGAGACGCATCCCCTTGCGGCTAACGGCGGAAACTCAGGGTGAGGCTCGATGACTGAGCCAGCAGGCTGCAGGAAGCCAATTGTAAGACAAGTCATGTGGGAATGTCCTTGATCAATTCTTTACAGTATATGAACCGTTAAAACATTTAAAACTTCGATGTTCATTTTTGAAAATACAGAATCATTAAACATTAAACAACTCCAAGCAAAGGATACCCCATAACGGACTTTGAAAACTAGCACTATGCAAAAAAAAGGAATTTCAATTGGGGTCAGTGGAAGAACGAGAAGCCCACAAAGAAGATGGGAGGGGCTGTTTGGTAACCATGTCGTAGCTATTTCTCTCTTGAATCATGCGCAGAGTTGTGTCCCTGCCCCTATTCCAATACCAAGCGATCAACACCCTGGTTCAGTATTGGATCATCAAGGATTTGGCGGGTATCATCACAAGTCTTGGTATACACATTTAACATTTATATATATTATATATATTATATATATTATCAATGGATACACATTTATATATCCGCCGACCCCGGCAGACGCAAGGGGGAGTGCGTAAGGGAAAAAGAGTTTATGACACAGCTGCCAGGAAAGAATAATAATAATTCGCTGACCCCGGCCGATGCAAGGGGGAGCGCGTAAGGGAAGAAGAGGTGCTGCACTGCTACTTTTACTACCAGGCAGCAGCAGGCAGCAGCAGGCAGCAAGAACAACAACAACAAGAACAACAACAAGAACAACAACAAGAACAACAACAAGAACAACAACAAGAACAACAACAAGAACAAGAACAACAACAACAACAACAACAAGAACAAGAACAAGAACAAGAACAAGAACAAGAACAAGAACAACAACAACAACAACAAGAACAAGAACAAGAACAAGAACAAGAATAACAACAACAACAACAACAACAACAACAACAACAACAACAACAACAACAACAACACCACAACAACAACAACACAACAACAGCAACAACAACAACAACACACAACAACAACAACATAACAACAACAACAACAACAACACACAACAACAACACACAACAATAACACACAACAACAACACACAACAACAACAACAGCAACAACAACACACAACAACAACACACAACAACAACACACAACAACAACACACAACAACAACACACAACAACAACACACAACAACAACACACAACAACAACACACAACAACAACAACAACAACAACAACAACACCAACAACCAACAACCAACAACCAACAACCAACAACCAACAACCAACAACCAACAACCAACAACCACAACAACAACAACAACACACAACAACAACAACACACAACAACACAACAACACAACAACACAACAACACAACAACACAACAACACAACAACACACAACAACACAACAACACCAACACACAACAACAACAACAACAACAACACAACAACAACACACAACAACAACCACAACAACAACAACAACAA